AAAGCTAGCTTGAGGAAAGGCAGGGGGAGGAATGAGGGCCTGCGCTCCTTGTTTATGCCTTTGAACTACCCGCTCCCGCCCCGGTCACCTAAAATGGGGGCGAGGAAGCAGCTCTCCGCGGTGCGCTTTGCCGCCCCTTAGCAGAGGGACTGAGGGTTTTTTTTTCCTTTTCCTTTTTTTTGTTTCCTGCCGCTGCTGCTTGGATGCTGGCGTTTGCGGCCCGTTTTCTTTCCTCCACGTCCTCGCCCGATGAATTCCTTCTTTTTGACTCCTGAGGTAGAAGGAGTTACCCTAGTTTGGGGAGGGCATATTGGCTGAGGAGGCGTTAGGACGCTGCCCCTTTCCCCTGATTTCTCTGCTCCCCTCCTCGCAGCCGGTAAACAGGCTCTTTAAAATGCGGACAAAACCGGTGCAGAGCAGTCGGTGCGTTTTGTGGCAGCAATAATGAATTTTAATGTAAGTCTGTTCTGTTTGTAACAGGGCCGACATCTTCCCCTCGAAACGTATGGCGCAAGCAGTGGACAGCGCTGGTGCCGCACAAGCAGCCGTGGGTTTGCGCCAGTTCGTGTGTCAACGTCAGCCGCTGGGGTCCAGTATCAGGCGGTTGGGAGGATGTCACTGGGGCTGACAGGTGGATGCGGCAGCGCTGCCAGGTGGCCTGTGGCCTGCACAGGGGCATGAGTGCCGCAGGTGTCTCCCTCTGCACTGTGTGCTACGCTTGATGAGCCGTCATCACTGTAAAACTAGGGAAAAACATACATGGGTTGGACAAACCCCCCTTTAGGTTGTGTGTTGAGTGAAAAGAGCATGTCCTTCTGCCCTCCTGCCTCATCAGTTTTTGTGTAAGTCTGTCTGAGAGAAACAGGAACATAACAAAGAATTGCCCCAAAGTAATTTGGTTTGATTTCAAGGCTGTTGTGGAACAGCTTGTTTTGGGGAGAGAGATTTGGATTATCTGAAACTTCTTCTCTGGGACCTTCCAATTCAAGTCAAAATAAATTCTTCTTGGGGATGGATTCATGGGGTCAACTCATAATGTGTGTCACATTTTTGAGACCATTAGTAGACTGTTGGTATTTTTAAAGCTGTTCTGAAAGGTGGGTTTTGTTTTTTTTTTTTGGCACTTCCTAAAAGTCATTGTAATCAGTGGCCAAACCACAAAATTAACTCAAGTGACAGCATGGTCAAGCCCAAGGGTCTGCAGCAATAGGAAAATAATTTAAAACCAAAATCTCACTGTTTCAGGCTTGTTGCTTGCTTCAGATGAAATTTAGTCCTGTGCAGAAAACTTCTGCAGACCCTAGGTACAATATAATTTTTTCTTTTTTTTCTGTGAATGTGTTTATTATGCCCTTGTGTTGGTGCTCATCTTTGGAGTTAGCTTTACCGTTTAAAAAATTGGCATTTGGAGTAGTCACCTCAAGCTATCCTTTTCATATGTCACAATCAGCTAAGCTAGGCAGACCTCCCCTGCTATCCCTTTTCTGTGGCTACATATAGGTACCCAAACATACATGTACAAGGACTTTTAAAGTTATTCTTAATGTCAAAACATGAACGACAAGGAAGTGGACTAAGAGCAGGCACTTACTGGGCTGTCTAATACAGCAAAGGATTCTTTTAATGCATTGAAAATTAAATACTAAAATACCAGATTAGAAAACAGATAGACTGATTTGTGGTACAGAATAGCAATATGCTCACGGCCAGGATATTCTTTGACTCTGATTTATGATTTAAAGAGTAAAAAATATGACATCATCATCGTAATTGTAAAAAAATGTAATACGACAACTTTTAACCTTTTCTGTCTGTGCTTTTTCATAACAATGTTATAGAAGTATACTGCTATATAGCATTTCAGAACTTGCTTTTATTTTATACTTTTCACGGACTGCTTAGGAGTAATCCATGGACTTCCAGAATTCATGGACTAGTTCAACCACTATTTTAGCATAAATAGGTTTATTATCATATGTGTAATCTGAGAACCAATGGTCTGATATTATTCAACCAAATGTAGATTTCTAAACTAAAGCTACATATAGCTAAGCTGTTTTTTGTAGTCAGTGGAGAAAAGCAGGTATTCCAGGGAGCAGTTCAACTCAATTCTAAAGCACAAGTTGAATAAACATAGGTTGAATAAATTGCACCCTAGTCTTTTTGACTGTAAGGGTTGAGTTAGGCATGAGAAACCCTCATCGCAAGGGAAATTATTTTTGCTGGAGTGTGAGATAACTCTGTGGTTGTGCTGGGAGTAGGTCACTTTCCCCATGGAGGGAAAGCAACTCTAGGAGTTGTGGGATTGGGAATTTGGGAGGTGAAGGCAGAGCAGTCAGTTAAAGATGACTCCTAGAAGTGTGAATCAGGAAATGAATGTGCTATTAAAAGGGGAGGAGAAAAGCTAAGAAAGGACAGGGGAAGAGATCTGTGCTCTGTAGTTCTTCACTGGGAAAGAGATCTGAAAGGTACGAAAAACAACTGGAGGAAGCCTTAGTTGCAAGCTGACATGATTAGGGGTAGCCAAGCAGAATTTCTTGGGGCTCAGAATCTTTGGGCACGCTGAAATCCTGTACCTTTGCCATGAGGAGGGATCCTGAACCTCGACTAAATTTCCCACCATGTAGTGTAAGGGCAATGCTAAGGGGAAAAACCAGAGGAGCTGTGCGCTATATAAGCATCACAGAGAAAAGAAGTGATGACCCTCAGGAAGGTACATATTTCTCCCTACCTTTTGTTTAGTCAGGTGTTTAAATTTGCTTTTCCCCAGGAAGGAAGGGGCAAGAGACAGTGCAAGTGAAGTATACGAGCAAGAGCATTTGTGTACCCCATTATAGCTAACCACAGACTGATGAGAGCATTCCCTAGAGTATTTGACAGCCAGGACTATTTCCCTGGTTTTCTGATTCAGATCAAAGATAGGAATGACGTCCAAGCTTTCGGGCAATCCTTCTGCAAAGTTATTGACAGCTTTGGTGCAGATCTCTTTCATTTTCTCCTAGTAGAGTTATTTTATTTTTATAGTAATCACAGCTTAGAAAGTAAGCGGTGAGGTATTCAGTGTTGTCATTGGTGACTGAAGATCCCATATTCTGATTGGCAGCTTTTTCAGTTTAGGTATCATTTAAGAATAACCAAGGGATTGGGTCCAGTGAATTGGACCCACTAGAGTCATTCTCAAATCTGGAACACCTTATTGGAGAATCCAGCTTCGAGGTTTCTAGATCTTTGGCATCAGCTGCAGATCTGAGCGGTCATTGCAGTGCGGTGGTGTTGATGCTTGGATACATATGGCCAGTACCAGGAAGTCAGGCATTCTGACCGATGGGGATGTTGGGTAGGTATTGTCATTGTTTTGAGCTTTTTCCTCAGGATAGGAGAGTTTTTGAGAAAAATCCTACGCTGAGAAATCTCACTAATAGAGTCTAAGGTAGGGATGGGGCTGGGAGACAGGCTAGTGATGACGAGTTATAATCAGCTTCAAAAATGGGATGAGATATTGGCCTCACTGGGGTCAGAAACAGCGCTCACCAGTTTCAACAAAAACAGGATTTCAGCCATTGGCCAGAAGTTGTGAATAGCTAAAATGTAAAATATTCATGCCCCTGTTGTCTTGATTATTTCAGTAATTAAAATGTTTACTCGCTGTCCTGAAATCTGTAT